TTATACAAAAAAATACAGTGGGGTCAGTTCAGACGTAGCACAGTGCTCATTTAGTAAATGCACAGCTAAACAATATGCTAATTGTGGCCGATAATGTTAAGTTAACATTATGCCAAGTCGTCACAAATAAAATAATGCATGGGAAATGGCTTTGGCGTGTTAGTTGCAGTGCACTATGCAACAAGCTATTGTAAACAAGTTAACGTTAACTAGATAACTAATATTTTAATCGCTAATATAGCAGATTCATGGAAAATGACTAGTGAGTCATGTTTTGTTTATCTTTCATTATAAATAAAGTAGTTTGTCAATGTGGAAATCTGAAATGGCATTTTTCTTTTATGTAATAATAATAAATAGGCTACTTGATAAAAAGCTGCTCTCTTCAGCCAAATGCAAAAGGGTTCAATTTTCATGCAGGCCTATGATGTTAGGCTACCTTTGGTGACATTTCCAGTTATAGCTTTTAATCATTCTAAAAATAAAACCAAATTCCTGTGAAGTCTTGTATGATTAGGCTGTTATTTTAGTTTTTTTGGGTGGTGGGTGGCATGGGCAATGTTTGTGCATAGGGCCCAGAATTTGGTGCTACGCCCCTGACCCTGTCATGCTATGCAAATACCATCAACACTATTGCTCTTCAGGACCTGCCTGACTTTTGACTATTTTACAGAAGATTTTTTTACAGTGTACGCGAACAGGCGGAAGTCAGAGCAAAACGTGAGCAACTTTGATATGGTTTAGCATACAGTATCAAGTCTATAAAGTAAATTAAAGTATAAAAGCCTATAAAGTAAATATTGGTAATCAAATAAATTCATTTTGTCATTCAAAGTAGGTCTAATAGGATTTTTTAAATTTCACGTAATGCTCTCACTGAAATTTTATTTTATAGAGACGCAGCAGCAGCATCAACAGAAAAAAATTGAGAACATCAGTATCTCTCCTCCATAAGGTACTTGCCGACGTGCCGGGTAAAGCTGAATTGGATTCCCTTTTGATACAGGGCCGTCTTGACTTTGTTGAAAGCCGCACATTTTTTGGAGAGACTGAACACTGCACCTTTGTAATGCAAGTCATTTTGCCTGGCAAAACTTAGCACTCATTCCCGGTCCTGGTGCTTGTGGAATGCGACTATGACGGGTCTCAGTGGTTGGCCTTCTTTAGGTTTTGGTCTTATAACACGGCGTGCTCGGTCCAGTTCAAGGGGTGTAGCAAGCACGCCTCTCCCCATGATATCCATTAACATACTGGAAGTAAATCCCACCATGTCGCTGTTGTTTTCACTGCTTTCTGGCACGTTGATTATTCGAACATTCAAAAGTCTGGATTTGTTTTCCAAGTCCTCGACTCAGTCTATTAATGTGAATGGTGGTCCAGCTAGACAGCACAGAGACATATGTATAGATGTCAATGTAAAGATTTTCGTCTTTGACAGTATGTACTGACCCTCACTGTTTTCTACAGTGTCTCTCCCTCTCAGTTCATCATTTTAGTTTAGTTGTGAAGCTGAAGAAAATAGCCGTGAGTCACATGTGTAACACAGGAAAGTAGGCGAGCTGATATTAGATACCTGACTGACTGCACCTGCTATCTCAGCACTCCTGACTGTTGGCTTTGAATGTGACCATGACTGTGTCTGTGTGCATTTTGCAGGCTTCCTCTGATCACATGGCATTTCTCCAGGTTCCAGTGCCCTGCAATGGACTGACGTTCTGTTGAAAGTTTACCTCACTTTACTCTAGATAATTGGACTAATGATAAATAGCTATGATAAAGCAGAGTTGAATCTTTGAGGTAACAGGGAGATCTAATTATTAGGTCTTATTAGAACATTTTATAAATATGCAGCAACTCTAATTTATGAAGTCCTCTTTAGTCATGCAGAATTTTTTTTTGTTGATGAAGGAGTCTATACAGTACATTGATAGTTTATTTTATTCTCTACAGACTAATAATAATGGTCTGACTTTCGGAAGGGCTAAACATTCAGTCTTGTAGTTTTGTAACTTGTTTAAAGTGTCCACTCCCCCTTCTCTCTGCCTGCTGTGTGTGAGAATAGAAACGACGGAGATAGTGAAGTTACAGAGAATGAGGAAGTGATTGTTACTCTCCACAGATCTGGGCTCAGTGACACACAGACGTATGGATCCTCTGATGCTCCTGATTCTTCTCTTTGCTGGGCGCACAGGTGAGTGTCACTCATTTCAGTGGAACTGAGTAGAGATCTCTCTCCTGCTCCTCCACACACTGTCAGGTACAGTTTGGAGATCAGGATGGAGATCTGGTCAGGAGAAATCACAAAATATCAGTTTTGAAAAGATTCAGCTGCTTTGCATAATATGAAATTGTGAATACTTTTTGGATTCTTACGGATGTTTATATCAAAACATTTGTAATCGCTATGCTATTATTTTAGAAATGTTCAGTGTACCATGGATCAGATTATTGATATAGATTTAATATCTAAATATTCAGTGCAATACTGTCATGTCTTTCCTTAGTAATCAAGCAATACAAAGATGAAATGCCATTGTCTGTTGCATCCTTTTATCTTACTGGGGTCATTTCAGTAGCACAGGTGGTTATGTGAGCAGACAGCCGGGATGCCATCAGTCATTTCTGTGTCTACAGTCAGTTAAAGCTTGGGCAGAATTGTTTCTTTTGCAAATACCATATACCGCGGTCAGGGGCGGATTAAGGTGTACAGAGGTCCCTAGGCTACAGTAGTCTGTGGGCCCCCCAACCCCACCCCCCTCCTCGCCAATGGGGGCCCCCTTGCAGGCTGGCACACGTGGGGCCCCTAGGCTTAAGCCATATCTAGCCTGTGCGTTAATCCGCCCCTGACCGCGGTGTACTGTCAGGACAGTATAAATTATCGGGACAGAAATTTAAAAAGTAAATATATTGATTCCTCCTCACCTCTGACAACAATTCTCCTTTGCTCTTTTTTGGTTGACCTCTGCTCTGTGAAAGTTAGTGCTGCCACCTACTGGAAACACCTAGTTAATTACCTTGTACAAGTATATTTGATGCACACCAGAGCATGTGAGCGGAGTGGAGCGGTGAGAATTTCCGCTCCTCGCTCACGAGGCTGTTGGCTCCG